TAGCTCATGCTTTTTGATTGTGGGACGGTGGTTGGCGCGCGCAGACACAGAGTTGCTTTTTCTTCAGATCTGTGCTTGAGGATGCCAGCCTCCTGAGTCTGGTCTCCTCCATTGCCTCCTCCTGCAGATGCTCCGCCTGCAGGGCTAGGCGAGTGCCACGATTGCGGGGTGGCCCTTGAGGATCAGAACCGGTCTGCGCTAAGCGGGTGGTGCTGCGCTTGCATCAAATACCATGTGGAAAAGAACAAGCAGGTGGCGCACGAGCTTGGCCTGGGCCCCTCTGCAGACCATGACTTGAAGTCAACGGCGGCCAGCTCTTCCCAGGAAGCCGTGGTTACACCAACCAAAGTGAGCTTGTGCACTTGGTGGCAACGTGTCCAGCGAGAGATCGGTGTCAGCAAGCAGGCTTTGCGCAAATGGCGCGACATGACCGTCAAGGAAAAAGAGGACTTCAAGATGAGCATCTCCGACCGCTTGAGCCCTTCACCAACTTCTCAGGCTGCCGGGAAGCTGGTCAAGGAGCCCGCGCCGCAAACAACAAACGTTAAAACTGTGGAGCAGTTTGAGAAGAAGTGGGAGCATATGCGCGAGGAGCTGAAAAGCGCGGACCCCCATGTGGTAGTTTTGCAGCGGCACGAGTCAGCTTTTCAGATGTGTATCGATGTGGTCTCCCTCTTGAGGCTCGGCGTGTTCAAGCATGCGACTGAGGCAGCCCGATCTCTCGCAAGTTTCCACGTCAACCGCAAGAAGGTGACAGCTGTGCCCTCATGCTGACCTGCGCCAATGCCCGCAACAATTTGTGCCAGGGCGCGCCTTCCCGGGAGCGCTGACACCAGCGCAGAAGATGGACTTGCTGAAGCATGTGTCCATCATGCAACGGTCAAACTGCAGCGCGGCAGCGCCATGAGCTTACATGTTTGTAAGGGTTCCCCTTAAGCCGTCGCAAGCAGCAACCTGAGGCACACTGACGAAGGCGGACATCAAGAGGTTCATGTGGCGCTATTACCTAGTGAATATAGGAGCCGCCAAGCCGGACACTGTCTTGGATTGGTCTGAGTTTGAACAGTTTGAGAAAGACAAGGATTTTGAGAACGTGTATGTGTCCTGGCTGTCCTGGGTAGAGCGCACCCAGCCGATAGCCATGCAGATCCAGAATAAGAAGCTGAGAAGTACAGGCTGCGGCCTTGGTTCTTGGGGCCGTACCACACCGCTGCTCTTTGTCCTCTCGACCAATCTCCGAACTGCAGCTTTGAGCGCCGGTGGACTTCCATCAGGGCCAAGGCTTCGAGTTTCTCTCCATTGCAGGCGCGACCCACGAGTGCTTTGACTTTGCATACTGCACCAAGAACAATCAGTTGGGCTTTCGAGATATTGGCTTGGTCCCAGGTCACCCTGTCAATAGAGCCCGCGTCTTGCTGGAGCGTGGCCCCAAGCTTTTCAAGAAGACGGTCCCGGAAGCGCAGCGGGATTACGAAACTGCAGAAGCTCAACTTCGGATGCTCCTGCTGCAGCTGCAGACTCTTCCAAACCTGAGCCTGCTGGCAAGGCACCTTCGAACGCATCTGCCGCAAGCAAGGCTGCTCCCAAGCCGGCGCAGCAAGCTTGCGCAGAAGTTTCGGCGGCGCCGCCGCAGCCTGTAGAATATGACCTTGACAGTGAGCAGCACTGTGTGGAGTCACTGTGGAGTGGCTGTTGGCGGCCTTCTCTGAGCAAAGAAGGGACAGCGTCAGGCACCTTGCGATGTATTATGCGCAGCACGAATTAAAGCCATGCACTCAGAAAAAAGTGCCTTTGAGCGAAGTGTTCCGAGCACGGGTCATTGATGTTGGCCTCTAGGTCCTCCAGTACACAGGTTAGCTTTCTAAAGAACTTGGCCCACCGTGGCCAACCCCCCATGGCACACAACTTAGCCCGCAACACCAAGAACTTAGCCCATTTACAAAACTGCTTGGCACACCTCATCAAAAATGCGCGTTTATGTTACGACTGCCTTGTCCGGCTAGCTCGCGCCTATGCGTTTACACATTAGCTTCTACTTGTCTGAGCTAGGTTGCGAGCTTCAAAATTGCTCGAACCGTGTCCACAAACGCTTGGCACACCAACCTTCACCAACATATGCTGCAATGTTGCTAAGTTCTTTCTTCATAGCCACCCCCCATGTGCTTGTAAGCAGCAGCCTTCCAAGAACAACTGAAAACCAATGCGCTCAACAAGTACTTCCCCCATGGCACACCGCGTTTTACAAGCGTTTCAAACAGAATAAGCCCAGGTATCCTTTCAACAGCCCCGTGGCTAGCTCGTGCCTATGCGTTTTCACATTAGCTTCTACTTGTCTGAGCTAGGTTGTGAGCTTCAAAATTGCTCGAACCGTGTCCACAAACGCTTTGGCACACCAACATTCACCAACATATGCTGCAATGTTGCTAAGTTCTTTGTTCATAGCCACCCCTCTGCGTTTAAACGCAACAGGCTTTCAAAAGCAGCTGAGAAACTAATGTTCTGAACAAGTACCCCCCCCCCCCCCAATGGCACACAAACGGTTCACTCAAAATAAGCCCAGGTGCTTTGTTGTGAAACTCTCTGTATCCATGTCGTCCGCAGTCTCTCTCTTTCTTTCGTTCTTTCTTTCTTTCTTTCTTTCTTTCTTTCTTTCTCTCTTTCTTTCTCTCTCTCTCTCTCTCTCTCTCTCTCTTTTTCTCGCTGTTTCTCTCTCTCTCTCTCTCCGAATTGCAGCGTCACATTTTTGCTGAGTTGCCTCCATGTCCAGGCGCTGCCCCTTCATGACCCTGAACTGTTTGCTTACTGCTGGCTTTCCCCTTGATTTCCCCTTCATGTCCTTTTCACGTTTCCCATGATGTCCTGGTCATGTCCCTTCCATTCCTTTCAACTCCCCCTTCATGTCCCTGTCATTTTCTCGGTATGCCGCTTCATTTTCCATGTATGTCGCGTTCTTTCGTTGTCAGTCATTTCCCGACATCTCCCGTCGTGCCGATTGGTTTCCTTGTCCTTTCATTCCCCCCTGCATTCTTCTTGTTTTCATGTCTGTCCCTTTCATGTCCCTTTCAGTTCCCCTTTGTTTCCCTTTCATTTCCCCTTGCTTTCCGGTCAGGTCGACTTCCTATTCCTCCCCTCATTTCCTTGCAAATCCTTGCATTTCCCCTTTTCTCCCCAATATTTCCCAGCGTTTTCGCAAAGAGGACGTCAACAAATACAGAGTTTTTTCCACATTTTCAGCAAAAGGAGGCAAGATACCCAAACCAGCAAAGAGCCGGCAGGGGGATTCGAGCCTGGGACCCCTGTTTTGCTCCCCGAAGACTACGTTTAGTGGAACATCATCAAATTACTGCGCGGTACGTGGCCCCCCCCCACCCGCCCCCAAACCCTACATATCCGGGCGGGAGGGGGGTTAGGGGGGTTATCCTCTATCCTCTCTTAGGTATCCGACACGCCTCAGCAATGTCGGCGGATTTAAGGGGCACAACCCAGATTTTCAGAATTCCAAGTTCTAAAACAAGACACGCGCGCACCAACCAAACAAAGCCGCAGTTTCTTTTCCTCACTTTCTGAGTTCCTTTGAACTTTTTGGGAAAACCATTTCAGAAGTTTGGACTGTGTTGGGGGCATCCACTTCTGAAGTAAGTTTTAGTTCGAGACAGTTTGATTGGCACCTCCACAGTCCCTCAAACGATTTCTTTGGGCACCGGAAGCTTTGCCCCAGAATTTCACTGGTGGATTCGGTGGTCCTGGAATGGATTCGCAAAGTTCGCAAAGTGGCAAACGCCAAACGCCACTTGGTGAAGATAAGTAAGGTATTCTACCCAGGGGCGACTTAGTGGACCTAGGTTCCCATTGCCACTTTCTAACTTCAAACGCCTAAGAAATTGTCCAAGGAATTCGGTCTCCCAAAACTGGCCGAGCTGGCAAGTCGAGCTTGGAAAAGGACCGACCGTGAATCCTTTGTGTGTTTCTTTTTGGGGAAATGGCCAAATGCTCATGGGCCCTAGGGTCCAAGCCTCCGTCAGCATTTTGGTTTGGAAGGACCAATCTTTTGTTGAGCCCCCGAAAAATGGAATTCCCCCCCCCCCCCACCCCCCTAGTTAAGGGGCGGGCTCACTTGCCACCAAAATTCATCGGATCTGAATCTGATTTTTAATTTCCCTTCTTCGGTCCAGTTGCTGTCATGACCCAGGGTGATCTATCCTTTATGTGGATAGGAATCAGGGGATGACGCACAGGTTTTGGTTTTGCGGAACCAGCGGTGATTGCAACCATCTTCAATCTGCGGAATCTCCTGGTGTTCCCAGCCCCTTGGATCTGCCAATCGCCCACTTGAGGATCACAAGGCTAGTCTTCCACAACCAAGGTTCCCAATGTGTCGCCTTTGGGAGGTTTAAGGGTGGCTCCCAGCCATCCCCTTAGCTTTTTAGCCTTTTAGTGTTTAGCGGTAGTTTCCATTCGACCCACTAACAGATAAACTTTTAGCGGGGCACCTGAGGGCAGCCCAGTAAAGAATGAGTTTCCTTGGTCCAAAGAAAGATCCGTGAATGGAATGGGAAAGACCACGCAAGAGCCTGAGACCGATGATTCATCCCTTTTCATTTCATGGCTTAAAAAGGGGTCCAAAGTTTTTTTTGGGAATACTTAAGCCCAAGCGCCCATTGTTTTTCATGTGGGTGTTTTATTTGTTTGTTTTGAGGTTACCCCCCAAAAATGAAAAGTGGTTTCGTTGTTCTTGTTTTGTTTTTCGCTCTAAGATCGCCACCAAACAACTCGGGTACCCAATCAAAACAAGATGCGTTTTCTTGAAATGTCCCTTGAAAACTGCCAACAAAAAACTCGCCCAAGGAAACATCAGGTTTTTTTTGAACCATGCTCGATTTGTGTGAAAGTGACTAGAGGGAGCACTCCGGAAATATTTTTGGATTGTGCCCAGTTGCGCCACGCCAAAAATTCACGTGAGAGGCTTCGATGGCTTCGTTCTGATCGTTTTTTCTTCTCAGGTCGCTGCTCGGCCCAGGCATGCCGGCATGCCTGCGCCTTTTTGGGCCGGGCCAAAGAAATCGCAACGAAAGTTGTTTTTTGAGGGGAAACCACATTTTGGGAAGAATACATCTTGAATGGAAGCACAGTTGGTGTGTGAAGGGAAACCAAATTGTGGTTTTGTCAGAGAAGTGGTCATTGCAACCGCAGCCCTGTGTTGAATGTTGAAGGGACACCATTTGTTCAACCTAAGAATCACATACCCACATGTTAGCCTCCCACCTGGTTAACGTGGAACCTGACCTTCGGGGGGGTCCTGGTTTGGGCCGGTCCCTGTCAGGTTCCATATTAGTTGGTTTGGCGGGTAAATCTGCTAACAAGGGGTGTGGAGTCACAAGTTGTTTATCCCATTTCTTTGATTCAAGGGCATCTTGCTCTTATGGGGGGTTTTGGGAAAACCTGTTTGGTTTTATCACGGAAGTGGTCATTTCAACCACAGCCCTGGTGTTTTTCTTTTTTCTGAAGGGAAACCAGTTTGGTTGTTGAAGGGAAGGGAAACCAGAAGGAAAACTGTCGCCATCTGGTGGGCTTTGATCTTTTCAAGGAAACCAACACGAAAACCGTCGGCATTCGGGTGCAACCTAAACATTGACACACCCAACGGGCAACCCGTGGTTTAAAACCCGTTGCCGGCCCGAAGCGAGTCAAGGGGATCTGACCTTTTGGTTTCCCTGATGCGGGTTCCTATGTTAAGTCAAGGGTCCAAAAAGTGATCACCTTTTGTGTCTAGGTCTAAACTGGGCAACTGAGTGGCAGTTGTGTTTGAAATCAGACGGTTCAAGGTGAAGCCACTACTGGTTAACTGAGTTCCTGGACTAAATGTATACCTTTTGGAAAGACGATGGAACACAATTTCAGTAATAAACAAAAGTTCAAGCGTTGGCCAACCAACTCAGGAAGTGAGTTAAACAGCCTTTTGGTTTCGCTGTAAAGTAGAAGGACCACGGGTTGGTTCTTAAACAAAGTCATGATCGTAGGAGCACAGCGTCAGCTAGCATTTAGCCCCATGTGGCCATGGGTCAAAAGCCCGTACCCCCAGTGAACATCCCCACAAAAATAGACTACAATGGGTGGTGCACCTACCCCAAAATTGTGCCATTGGTTTTGACCCACAGCCATATATGCCTCATTTGTGACCGAACGGCTAGTAGAAGTAATTATTTCCAGTGATCACTGATCCCCCTTTGGTCTCTTGAAACATGGAGACCCATGGGCGACCAGATTCGCTGGCAAGTAAGTTTAGACGGGCCAAATGGCCCGTTTCCCCTTTCTTCAAATTTGGTGTCATCAGCCTAAAACGGACCTCCCTGGAGCATACAAAGCGGGACTTGCCATTTCTGTCCATTTTGTAGAAGGTGGCTCTTCAATTGGTGCAGGCGGCACGCACAACACTGGTTTGTCCATGTGAGTTTTCACAGATCCAAAGACGACGCGACCGTAGACAAACCGCAGAAAAATGTAGAAAGACCATTTTCCGGCGTAGAACCACTTTTGGGCAATTTTTGCAGGGGATCCGGAATCAACATCCTTATCCTGGAATGGTTGCTGTGATGGGTAGAGATTTTTGCTGTCCTGTTTTCTTGGTTAGGCTAGGGGGGCGAGCAGAAGAGGGTTCACCTTCAAGTGGACAACTGATTGTGTTTTGGTTTCGGAATTGGTACTCCTCGTTACAAGTGCTGAAGGAAAATGGAAACCCGAAGCTTTGTCAATCTTTTTCACGTGTGCGCTTGACACATCTGGGTTTGCGACTGCGCCCGTTAATTCTGATGTCGTTTGTCCCTAAACATCATTTTTTCGTGGCATATATCCTCTACAAGTCTGCCCTGTGCTTCCAAAGCCTAATTGAAAACTATATGTTATGACGACCACGTTGTTTTTGGACAAAGGCTATTTGTTGACGACTAGCGGCAGCCTCCGTTTTGGACTGGAACAAGGGCTACGAAAGCCTTGGCGCTAAGGCCGCTCCATAGGAGCCCAAAAACGAATATGTATAGATACATAGGTAGCAAGAAGTTTCATTTAATGTTGACTTCTATATATCTTGGTATCTTAACATGGCGCAGCGCGTGGGACCTAGGACTGTGCCGGACGGTTGATATTCGGAAAACAAATGTACAGGGCAATCATCATTCCAAGGTTTCGTACATGGTGCAGGATTTTCGTACTCACTTGTCTAAAGCGCATCGACCTTTTGACCTTTTGACGGTTTCCCCGATCTGGTCAATTTGTAGTTCCCAAAGCTGATCACCCATTTTGGGGTTTGAGTCAGCTTATGACTCACTTCCTGAGTTGGACTTTAAAGCTTTTCAGGTTGAACCATAGTGATCAATCCAGAAGAAGGATTTTGTTTCCAATGATAGTTTTTTGTTGCCTCAACATATGGTAGAGTTTGGGAGCTGGTTGTTGGCCTTTTTTCTTTTTGGTTCGGACGCTTATTTTTCTTTTCCACCGACGCCCACGGCATCCGTGGCAGGCCCAGTGCGGGCTGGGCGCTTGGGCTGCGCTCCTGGCAGTTGCCTCGGCGAGAAGGGGGCGTGTCGGACGTCAATTCGTCGGACAAGAGGGCCACGGAGGAGCAGAAGGTGAAGCTGGAGCAGGCCAAGGGGGAGTAGCAGGGATTGGACAAGTTGCTGTTAAAGTCAAGATCAGCGAGCTGCAGGAGCAAAAAGAAGTGAGCCACTTGCTAAAAAACGCGGGTAGATGAAGGTTAGCAACGGATACTCCCAACCATAAATAGCTGCGGATATCCGCCTTCTCAATTCTTTACATGGTTCTGGGCAGACCATGTAAATACCGGGTTTTGATTGTGACTCAAGTGAAGGTGGAGGTGGTGGCGCGCAAGCAAAGGGGGACATATTGTGTGTTTTTTGAGGGCTTCCCCCTTTTGCCCCAGCTACAAGCTTTGGGATTAATAGGCCCAGATAGGCGAGAATGGTCCGGAGCAGATTTCAGGAAAGGTGGGCATTTTAGGGCTTTTGGAGCTACCACCTGGGCGTGACCCTTTGGAGTCAGCAGATGTTGACACGGATCAACTTCTTTTCCAAGAAAAAAACAAAGACGTTGTTCCCCAGGTCCTGTTTGCGTTTTCTTATTTTTATTGTTCTTTTGTTGCCAAAAAGACAAGGAAGTTGTTCCCCAGGTCCTGTGTGTGTGTTTCTTCTTTTTCTTCCTCTTTTTTTCCACAAAAAACCAAAGAAGTTGTTCCCCAGGTCCTGTGTGTGCTTTCTTCTTTTGCTTCTTTTTTGTTTCCCCCAAGAAAACGAAGTTGTTCCCCGGGTCCTGTTTGTGCTTTCTTCTTTTTGTTCTTCTTTTGTTTCCCCCCAGGTCCTGTTTTTTTTTTTGTTTCTTCTTCTTTTGGTTCCCCCAACAAAAACAAACAAGTTGTTCGCCAGGTCCTCTTTGTGCTTTCTTCTTTTTCTTTTTCTGTTGTTTCCCAAAAAAAACAAAGTTGTTCCCCGGGTCCTGTTTGTGCTTTCTTCTGGTTTTTCTTCTTCTGTTTCTCAAAAAAACAATCAAGTTGTTCCCATGGTCCTGTTTGTGCTTTATTCTTTTTTCCCTCTTTTTTGTTTCCAAAAAAAACAAAGAAGTTGTTCCCCGGGTCCTGTTTGTGCTTTCTTCTTTTTCTTTTTCTGTTGTTTCCCCAAAAAAACAAAGTTGTTCCCCGGGTCCTGTTTGTGCTTTCTTCTGGTTTTTCTTCTTCTGTTTCTCAAAAAAACAATCAAGTTGTTCCCCAGGTCCTGTTTGTGCTTTATTCTTTTTTCCCTCTTTTTTGTTTCCAAAAAAAACAAAGAAGTTGTTCCCCGGGTCCTGTTTGTGCTTTCTTCTTTTTCTTTTTCTGTTGTTTCCCCAAAAAAACAAAGTTGTTCCCCGGGTCCTGTTTGTGCTTTCTTCTGGTTTTTCTTCTTCTGTTTCTCAAAAAAACAATCAAGTTGTTCCCCAGGTCCTGTTTGTGCTTTATTCTTTTTTCCCTCTTTTTTGTTTCCAAAAAAAACAAAGAAGTTGTTCCCCGGGTCCTGTTTGTGCTTTCTTCTTTTTCTGTTTCTTTTGTTTCCCCAAAAAACAGGTGTTCCCCAGGTCCTGTTTGTGCCTTCTTTTGTTTGTTTCTTCTTTTGTTTCCAAAAAAACAAAGAAGTTGTTCCCCAGGTCCTGTTTGTGCTGCCTTCTTCTTCTTTTTCTTCTTTCTTCCCCAAACAAGAAACGAAGTTGTTCCCCAGGTCCTGTTTGTGCTTTCTTCTTATTTCTCTTCTTTTCGCCCCCAAAAAGAAACGAAGTTGATCACCAGGTCCTGTGTGTGTTTTCTTTTTTTGCTCTGTTGTTTGTTCCCCCCAAAAAAACAAAGAAGTTGTTCCCCAGGTCCTGTTTGTGCTTTCTTCTTTTTCTTGTTCTTTTGTTTCCCCAAAAAAACGAAGTTGTTCCCCAGGTCCTGTTTGTGCTTTCTTTTTTTTGTTTCCCCAAAAAAATCAGGTTGTTCCCCAGGTCCTGTTTGTGCTTTATTCTTTTGTTTCCTCTTTTTTGTTTCCAAAAAAAACAAAGAAGTTGTTCCCCGGGTCCTGTTTGTGCTTTCTTCTTTTTCTGTTTTTTTGTTTCCCCAAAAAAACGAAGTTGTTCCCCAGGTCCTGTGTGTGCTTTCTTCTTTTTCTTTTTCTTTTGTTTCCCCGCAACAAAAACAATGAAGTTGTTCCCCAGGTCCTGTTTGTGCTTTCTTCTTTTTCTTTTTCTTTTGTTTTCCCAAGAAAACCAACGAAGTTGTTCCCCAGGTCCCTTGTGTGTGTTTTTGTTGCGACTGAGGTCATAGCACTCAGTACTCCTGCGAGTCGGAAGTTCTTGCCTCAGTTCTTGTTCTTGGCGTTTTGAAGGAAAACCAAAGCGGAGCACGTGGTGTGTCAAACCCAAAAAGTCACAAAAAGTATGTTCGTTGGTATTTGTTTAAAAGGTGAACTTGTTCATACCTTTTGTAGGAACTGGGATCCACGCGGGAGTTGTTTATTGTTTAAGGTTTCCATGTTCTGTGAGTGGCTGAGTGAATCCCGTGTTGTTTGAGAGAACAAGTAGCTGTAATGATACTGTGGATGGACAAAAACCATTTCGCACCACTTTGAAAACACGAGAAACCATGATTTGCTGGCATTTACATGGGCATGATCATTTCAGGGTCTCTTACGTGGTGCGAAATGGATTTCGTCCATCCACAGTACGGCTGGCTTTTCGATATCGCAGAATGAGCAGGTGTCCAGATCCATTGCTAGTGACAAGTGGGTAGTGTGAAGTGTTTTGTGGCCGGTCGTGGCTAATTGGGTTTAGTGGTTGCTTCGTGGCATAACTGATATGCTCTTCACGGAACTGCCAAGTTGCAGTGGAGATCCGAACCCAGCTTTGCAGTCCGGTGCACCTTGGGTTTGTGAAGAGAAATCCTGCTGAGTTGCATGTTGGATTTCTGTCCGAAACGGATCTCAGGGAGTGATCGACACCATGTTTACCATGAGGTCGAGGCCCAACAAGTATAAAGCCCAAAACGGAGACTCAGGAATCATGCTGAGTTGCATGTGTCTAGGGGTTGATTTTCCTTTGCCATTCTTTTCAACCATCGTTCTTTTAAAATCCGGATCTGTTTTTTTTTTGGGGGGGGTTCTGATGGTTTTCTGGAAAGAAGGATCCCTGGAAGAGAAGGATCCCTGGAAAGAATGGGTCAGTGTCCAGAATGTTGGATTTCTTTGTTTCCCTGCCTGGGGCTTTGTCCAGTTCAGCAAGGCAAGCGTTTTTTTGTTTTCCCGGGAGGAGGAACACATGCAAGGGGAAAACGCATAAAACGCCGGCCTTTTGCCTCGCTTCCGCCCGGAGGGAAGCAAGGCGCATGTCGAGAAGCGCGAGGATATGGCGGTGGTTGTCAAAACCAATGGGACCCAATTTGGGGTTTTCGGTGCACCGCCCATTTTAGTTAGTCTATTTGTGGGTCGAACTTAAATCACCAGGGGACCACAGGTTTTAGTCATCATTGTGTTTCTTTTATTAGGGTGCCATTTTGGGTACCTTTTTTGACCAACAGCTATATCTACCACGTGTCAACACCGATGGGATCCCCATTTTGGGGTGTTCGCTGAATTCACCACCCATCTTAGAACCTATTTTAGTGGTTGGATTGGTTGATGTTCACTGGGGGTACGATTTGGATTTTGACCCATTATGTTGAGGGGACTTTTCCCATTTGCAAGGCCTTGAAACCAAGCTGAAAAAGGGCTACCCTCAACAAAACGCCTCCTGCGTGCCTTGCAAGCCTCACCTATCGGATCTGTCCCTCTTGACTGGGATCAGGAGTCAGGAGCGGCATTGCCCAAGAATCAGAAAGCGAAAGATGGCCTGAAAAGGGCCCCGCCAGTGATTGCCATATGTTTTAATTGCTCACTTTTTAGGGTTGGACCATGTTGGTGTAAAGTAACCGTTTGGACTTTTGTTGCCCAATCCGCTCAGGAAGTGAGTTTATGATCTATTTGTGACCTAATAGGGTAGGTGAGGTACTCTCCAGCAAGCAATATTGGAATACCCCAGTCATTGTTGTTTCTCCAGGGTAAGTTTGTTGAACTCAGGTTTCTGCTTCTTTTGTGCCTGTACTCTTCCGCTCCCACTCAGGCTGCGTTTGTTAGAAATGGGGGCGGGGTTGGCATTCTTTGAGGTGCCCTTTTGAGGTTGGTTTCAGAATTTCATGGGGAAGCTAAAAGGAAACCAACCGTTTTATGGGTCTCCTATTTTGAGACACACCATGCAGGTCCATGTTGGTGTGAAACTCCGGGGTGACAGACCACGTGTGCATTGCCTTGCTTGTTTCCAGGGTTCGCAGGCCCCGTTTTCCCGGGGACTACTGGTAGGAGGCCTAAGTTGGGCCGTGTTCGTTTCAAGAAAAGGCTTGGTTTTTTTTCATGGGTATGAGCTCGGAGACCAGAGCTCCTGTACTTCCAAGATGCTTTGCTGGAGTGCAACTTGGCTTGGTTCCCCACCCTCCGATACGCATGTCCCAGTCCTTCGATTCCTCTCACCTTTGGCCTTACTTCTGTGCCGACTTTACAAGTTCCAGAGTCCTCGCCAAAGCAAAAAAACATCTGGTGGTAGAAAAACAGGAAGGACAAAACAACCTCCCATGGCGAAAACACGGGGAGAAAAGCCACCACTGGTAGAACGCCCAACCTCATGGCGGTCGCTTCGATCGCCGTCGGGTTTCGATCGATTTCCCCGAGGCCTGGTGGAAGACTAGCTTCGGTGCCCATAGGCCCGGGGGAAGTGCTCGGGTCTTCTTTGGGGCCGAGGCGCATCTCCCCCTCGCCATGAACAAACACCCCATATCCGGCAGCGCAGAGCGGCGTGGGGGCTTCTTTTGGTCCTCTGGGTCGGCGGCTGATCGCTTCTTACCATCAACTCTGACTTTTTGTTGAGGAAAAAAGCGGCTACTTGGCCATCCAGAATCCAGGCTGGCTATGAGGATTGAAACCAGGGGTATTTTCCAACCACGTCCGAATCTGTTCAGGAAGCCGTCTTAAAAACCCAAACGGCCGGTTTTTGAAAAGAACGATGGTTGAAAAGAATGGGGAATCAACGCCCATAATTTTCGCGACTTAACGTCATGATTGTTGGATCATGTGTTTAGGCGAAGCCTTGGTCCATATTGTTGCATCCCCTGAGTCCCCCCAAAGGTCAGCTTTTGGGAAGACGACTACACCCTAGGAGCCTAAGACCCTAAATATGAGGGTCGTTGACCACCAAAGCCTCGAACCATGAGGTCTTGGGTTCCTGGCAACAGAGCCCGGACCAAGGCAAAACTTTCATTGGTCTGTCAGGTCGATTCGCTCGTTTGACCAATCATGTCGCACCCGCCCATGTCACCTTCTTACAGCTTGGGCTATTCTGCAAGACGTGGGGTTGACCAAACTAATCAAAGGGTCCTTTGATCCTTTTATGGATACACCCCCCATGTGACACGGTGGGTGGGTGTTATGCTGGATGGCAGTCTTCTTGGTCCTTGGAGGGTGGTTTACTTAAACCCAAACAAAGCCAAACAAACTTGATGGTGGTCTCCTGATGGACTCCGAATGTGGATGCAACCTCCCATGAATATCCCAACCTCACTTCCCTTTTGAACAGTCGCACAACTTTTTGTTCACCAAAATGGTCCAAAACCCGCCCCCGGCCCCCGGCCATGGTTTTGAAATGGGCGTGGCAATAATTAATTAAAGCTGCGGGTATGCAGGTGTTAGCCAGTTTCCAAATATGGGCGTGCCCCCCTTTAGGGGACACCTAAAATTGCGGGGTTCCTTTTGGTTGTCTTGCAAAACCAACAAAGACGGAGTAAATACCCTCAAAAAACAAGCCTCCTATACCAAGGTGCCATTCCGGGGATTCCATTTTTTGACCCCCACAGCCATACATGTTCAAGTCCGAAGCGGATCTGAGGGAGTGATCGACACACCATGTTTACCACCATGGTCCGAGGACAACAAGAAGAAAAAGCCCAAAACGGATCTCAGGGATCTAGGGGTCGATTCCGTGTCCCGGATCTCTTTCCCTGGGCTTGTGAATGGTTTCCTGAAAAGATTCGGATCGGGCGCAGAATGGAAATGGAAGGTACCAGAGTTCCATGTTCTTGCTGGTGCTCAGGGAATGACCCAGGGTGTTGGGAAAGTACCGTTTTTGGGGATTCGGAAACCAAATCGGAAATAACTTTGCTCGGGGGTCCTTTTTCTTTTCTCGTTCCCTGCCTATGGAACCAGCAAGTCTTGGTGGCTCCATTGTGGAAATGGAAGGCGCCCCTAGGCTCTTGGGCACGGCCAATTTCCGCCGCCTCCGACGAGCTCCGCGGGCTCCGAACTCCGCGAGGCGTCGCCAGGGAAACTTCGAGCGCCACATCTTGCCGTCCCAGGAGCCGGGCTGGCGCTCGGAGCTGGGCTCGGGCGCCCAGAGAATAAGAAAAGGCAGCGAAGGGGAAGCGAAGGGTCGTGTGTGTGTGTGTGGTGTGTGTTGTTTTTTATAGGGGGTGGGGGGGTGGGGGGTGGGGTTGGGGAGAGGGGGGTGAGCCTTGAAATAGTTGGTGTGCACTGTTGTTGGCATGTTTTTGGGTGTGTTGGTTCTGCATTTTAAGGGGGGGCTGCAAAAAGCAAAGTTTCTTGCTACATGCCAAGGCGGGTGAAGGAAGAATCTTAGATGTAGGGAAACACTTTCAATCCGCGATATTTTTCGGAGTTTGTTTTCGGGTGTTTGTTGTTTTGGTTGGTTTACGTGGTCTTGACTTGTTGTTCGAGTGTTCGTTGTGTTGTTGGCTTTAGCTGCTTTGTTGTTGTTGGTGTTTGTTCTTGTTTTGGTTTTTGGTCTTGGCACGTGTTCCCCGGTTTAGATTTTCGGGCTTAGTTGTGTTCAGAGCTTTGTTTTCCCCGTGTCTTCCGTTCTTTTCGGTTTTCTTGACTGAGTGGTTTGCTGTGTTGACTTGCGTGCTGGAGGTCCTAGCTCGCTCCTTGGGCCCCGGAGAATCGGCGCAAAGAATATGTCCAGCATGGGTTTGGGTGCGCTGAAAAACATGTGCCACCAATTTTGGCCGGGAAGGCGCCGATTTTTTTTAAAGACGTTATTTTTTTGTGCCTCACCCCGAAATGATCCCGGCTGACCCCAAAGAGTGACGGGCGTAAACAGTCAAGCTGGCCCGGCGGCCACGGGCTGGAAAGACATGGGCATCCTGCGGGCGCTTGTATACCGACAGCGGCATGGAGCGGGTGGTTTCCAGCATCTTCATGCGTGAAACGCGACGCATTGCCAACGGCCCTAGATTTGCTAGAGCAAGTCGCAACAACAAGTCGCAACGCAAGGACGTGGTTGGTTACATTATTGGCGTCACTGTAAGTTTATGTGCCTGTCCCGCAGCAAACTCTTCGACACGCACTTCGACATCATACAACATCATGATCTTGCGGTAACTGCCACGCAAAATGCTCGCGGCCAGACTCGCGGGCCTCCCAATCTTGTTGGTAGTTGACTTGCTGGTGCTCAGTGGGGAATGAGGGAATGAACCTGGGGTTCCTTCATGCCCCGCTGAGCACCAGCGAGTTGATTTTGAAGGGGACAGCCCCCCTCAATCAAAAAAGAACCTGGGTGCAAGCCACTGGAGGTCTGGGAAACTCCCACTTGACCATCAGCCGCTATGAGGGAGTTGTCTGGTATGGTTGTTCCAGCACACCCCCCCCCGTTTGGAGAATGAGTTATTGGGAGGCCTTATGGTATAGAGGCGGTTGCAATTCCCACAACCCCCTGAACATGTTGTTCAGAGGCTCAGGAACACAACAAAGTCGTTTGCTAGCAGGATTCCCTATTTTTGTATTGTGAAGAATTGCAATTTCATATTTATTGAACAGAATGGTAAAGGAATCAACCCCTAGCAAAGGTTGCTTCATGGGACTCAACCACGTGCCTTTTTTTAACGCTCCCCCTTTTTTGTGTGGGGGAGCCAAACGGAAAATCACAATTTGGGGGGGCCGAAAAACAAAGAGAAACCGGCGAGGCCCCCACTCCACGGCCGGGTCTTCGGCACCCGGGCCCTCCGTTCGCCCGAGGCCACGTAAATTGCGGCTGTGGGCCCGGGGAAGCTTGCGCCCACTGGCCATCGGGTCGCCCTCCGAAGGCGCGAGCGATCAAAGCTTTCAGCTTGCTCAAAGCGGGTGGCTTGGAGCCCGGTTTGGTGGGAGGTGGCTTGGTGTGGGATATCAGAACCCCCCTCAAAACAGGTGGAGAATGGCTGCGTGGTTTTCCATTTGCAACAAGCAGGTGGTTCGGTGGTTTCCCAGATGCCACCTCAAGCGCTCAGGGCTTCAACTCCCCGGTTTGGTGGGAGGTGGTGTGGTGGGATTCTCTGAAACGGGCGGCGGGCCACGACAAAGTTGAGGCTTGTTTTGTTGTCAAGCGAAGTGAGGTCTCACCTGTGGCTGGGTCTTGCAAAAGGTGACACTCCAAAGTCAACTGAATGAGTTCCGTTCAGCTTTTGTGTCAGTGGTTGTCCGACTAGGTTTGGAGTGGGCATGGGTTCCCTGAAGCGACTACAGTGGTTTTGTTGCCTTGATGGTTGGTTGGGCAAGCCGGTGTAGGGACACCTACCGGCTTTCCCTTCAGGTAACAATCTCATGGGTGTGCCACAGTGACGCAACGGTTTTCCTTGTCATTTTTCTTTGAAGCCACAAAACAAGGGGGAATGCTGGTTTCTCCACTGAGACAAAAGGTCACTCAAAACCGAAATGGCTCAAACACCCTGCAAGCCAGCATCTCAAAAATCGACTAGCTGGATCCGGCCTTTCAGTTCCCCCTGATGTCGAAAAGTCGGGGTCTCAATCAGAACCCTCGGGAAGAAAAATCAAAAGGTGCCCTCAAACCCAGATGTGGCAGAGAGACCAGGTCTCATTGACCAGAAACAGGGAGGAGCAACCTCAATAGCCCCAGCGATACCCTGTCCGATCGCCTTGTAAAGGCCTGAGTTTGAGTCAAACAAAAATGTCAAGGGCCTCCCCCCCGGAAATCAAGGGCTCCCAACTGCCCAATTTCTTGTACCTCCCCCCCTTTAGGGATTGCGGGGTTGTCTTTGCTTTCTTTGTTTCTGAAGCTCTATTATTTGTATCGTTCTGTTGGACATTATGATCTGCTCCATCACGGATGTGGTCAGGAGAAGCTTTCCATCTTCCAGATCCTTGTGAATTAACTTTTGCTGATGCACGTTGTGTATCTCATGCTGCTATATCTAAACGGGAAACTACCGTTAAACACCAAACCATCAATCGACACCACCAGAGTTGACCATGCAGGCAACCAACATCGGAGTGAGTTTAGTATCCCTGTTTAGTAGTTGGAACCCGCGTTGCGGTTCCTTTTCTTCTTCGGAAAAAGACGTGGTTTTATGAATAAAGGCTTGCTTCGTTTGTGGGTAGAAACCCTCCTTTTTCGGCAGACACCTTTTCTTACAGCATCCCTTTCTGGAAAAAAGACACCACTTTTTCGGCAGAGCAGCGGTGCGGTTTTTCTTTGGAACCCCCATGGGTCGGTTCATGGATGCATCGGCAGGCAGGAGACCTGCCAGTCCTGGCGCCGGAGGGGGGCCAGGTGCGGTCCTGGGGCTTATTGGCTTGGTGGCTCCGGCGAAGCGTCCGGCTTGGACAAAGTGATAAGTTTCTGAAGTGGTTGGTTGAGCCATTTGTTGGATATCCATTTGTTGGCTTCAAACCTTGCAATGGTCCGACTCGACAACTTTCACCTATGGAGGGCCCATTTTCAACTTCCGATGCTTTAAGTGTGAGAACAAATGTTGCACGGGTTTTGTAGTTACTGTCAATTATTTCCAGCACCCCCCATTAAGGCTTCAATATGGGCTACCACCCCCCATGCCCCCATTGAAGGTCCATGACTGCACGATGTAAGCGGAACCACTGATCTTGCGGAAGAACGAAAACTTGCGCGTGCGTATTTTGGGGGGCATTTTGTTTCCCCCCTTTTGTGGTTTTGACAGGCCAGGTCTCCCAGTAGTGCCCTTTCCCCCTTTGTTGGTTGGGAGGCTTCCCCTACTAAAACAGACAAAAAACAAGTAACGGTACCAACTTATTCTATCCTCTCAAATCTGGAGGACCTAGCAGGCCATCCCTAAGGGAAGACCCCGGCGGATTTGGTCGCAAAACAACGCGACGGCGGCCGGCGATGGATTTTGTTTCGCAGGCGCGGGGACTGGGGCTCTCCTTGGCGCCGCCACCCAAGGCGGGGTCCGCCAGGGTCGATCGAGGCACTAGGAACAGAGGCTTCCACAGCCGACAACACCTCACTTGCCAGCGAATCGACCCTGAAATTTGACTTGTTGGTCTTTTTCTCTCTTGGTCCATGGATTTCTCTCTTCCATTTGTGGAGGCCCTGATTTTTTTCACCTTTTGGTTTCCCCCCTGTTGCTCCATGTTCATGGCCCTACAGTGATCACCTTTGGGCAACTAAGATAGTCGGAATTGGACCCACAAAAGGTTAACCCAAGATAGTGGGAGGGGTTATGGACCCCTGGGCTTGTTTGGTCCCAAAAGCCCAAAAAGCTTCAACTGTATGGCTCTCCGAATTGGACCCACCAAAGGTTAGAATGTTTCCAGAGGGGTCAACAGCAAGCAAGTACAGGGAACCTCGCTGGAGCCACAATGAAAACCCGGGTAGATGAAGGTTAGTAAGGGAGAATCCCAACCATAGAATAATCGGTGCAAGCCGTTTTGTTATTCTTTACACGGTTCCGGGTCCATCTTATCAGGTTTTGAGTATGACTCGCTTGCCCAAAGAAATAATCATTGTAAAGAAGAGAGAAGAAGAAAGGGAGATAGATAGAAAAGTAAGTGTCATTGTCAGTCCTCCTTCAGTTGTCATTTTTTTCCCGGAAGCATTGCGAAGGGTTCTTCTTCTAAAAGCGGCTGCCAACTTCACCTGCCAACTTCTCATGCCAACTTGTCGAGAGTTACTTCACCTGCCAACTTCTCATGCCAACTTGTCGAGAGTTACTTCACCTGCCAACTTCTCATGCCAACTTGTCGAGAGTTACTTCACCTGCCAACTTCTCATGCCAACTTGTCGAGAGTTACTTCACCTGCCTACTTCTCATGTCAACTTTTTGAGAGTTACTTCACCTGCCAACTTCTCATGTCAACTTTTCGGCTGTTATCTCATTCTACTAAAAGCACAAGCTAATTTGTCGGGTGTTACTTCACTATCCTAAAAACACAAGCTAACTTTTCTGTTCTACCTTCACATCTCGACTCTTAATTCTTCTTCTTTTTATGGCGGGGGTAGGCCCGACGGGAGCTTACGAAACGCACCCCTCTGCGGAGATCGTGCGTGTCGAAGCGCTCTCGCTGTGGCGCCGTGCGAATTTGTCTTGACCGGCGAACCCTCTGCGGAGATCGTGCGTGTCGAAGCGCTCTCGCTGTGGCGCCGTGCGAATTTGTCTTGACCTTGGCGAACCCTCTGCGGAGATCGTGCGTGTCGAAGCGCTCTCGCTGTGGCGCCGTGCGAATTTGTCTTGACCTTGGCGAACCCTCTGCGGAGATCGTGCGTGTCGAAGCGCTCTCGCTGTGGCGCCGTGCGAATTTGTCTTGACCTTGGCGAACCCTCTGCGGAGATCGTGCGTGTCGAAGCGCTCTCGCTGTGGCGCCGTGCGAATTTGTCTTGACCTTGGCGAACCCTCTGCGGAGATCGTGCGTGTCGAAGCGCTCTCGCTGTGGCGCCGTGCGAATTTGTCTTGACCTTGGCGAACCCTCTGCGGAGATCGTGCGTGTCGAAGCGCTCTCGCTGTGGCGCCGTGCGAATTTGTCTTGACCTTGGCGAACCCTCTGCGGAGATCGTGCGTGTCGAAGCGCTCTCGCTGTGGCGCCGTGCGAATTTGTCTTGACCTTGGCGAACCCTCTGCGGGGATCGTGCGTGTCGGATCGCTCTCGCTGTGGCGCCGTGCGCATCTGTCTTGAGCCCGATGAACCCTCTGCGGAGATCGTGCGTGTCGAAGCGCTCTCGCTGTGGCGCCGTGCGAATTTGTCTTGACCTTGGCGAACCCTCTGCGGAGATCGTGCGTGTCGAAGCGCTCTCGCTGTGGCGCCGTGCGATTTTCTTGCTCGCGAAACGGCTTTTGGAAGTTGTCTCGTGGTGTGCGCGCCTGCTTTCGCAATCCCGCGGTCCCGGGTTCGATTCCCCCCTGGTCCGCGGCAGCTCCGGCTTGAAAATCGCAGCTTTTAAGTACAAACGTAGTACGCGGAGCGTGCTCCTGCAGCTCCGGCTGGAAAATCGCAACTTTTAAGTACAGACGTAGTACGCGGAGGCTGCTGCAGCTCCGGCTGGAAAATCGCACTTTTTAAGTACAGACGTAGTACGCGGAGCGTGCTCCCGCAGCTCCGGCTGGAAAATCGCAACTTTTAGATACAAATGGCTGGAAAATCGCAACTGTAAATTGCAAATGTAGCACGCGGAGCGCCTCCGCCGCTCCAGCTTTTTGAGGGTTAATTACTTCACCTGCCAGTTTCTCATGCCGAAACTTCGAGAATTACTTCACCTGCCAGCTTCTCATGCCACCTTTTCGAGAGTTACTTCACCTGCCAACTTCTCGTGCCAACTTTTCGAGGAGTTACTTCACCTGCGAGCTTATCATGCCAACTTTTCGAGAGTTACTACACCTGCGAGCTTCTCATGCCAACTTTTCGAGAATTACTTTACCTGCCAACTTCTCATGCCAACTTTTCGAGAAATACTTTACCTGCCAACCTCTCGTGGCAACTTCACCTGCCAACTTTTCGAGAATTACTTCACCTGCCAACTTCTCATGCCAACTTTTCGAGAAATACTTTATCTGCCAACCTCTCGTGGCAACTTTTCGAAAAATTACTTCACCTGCCAGCTTCTCATGCCAACTTTTCGAGAGGTACTTCACCTGCCAACATCGCCTGCCAACTTTTCGAGAGTTACTTCGCCTGCCAACTTCTCGCGCCAACTTTTCGAGAATTACTTCGCCTGCCAACTTCTCATGCTAACTTTTCGAAAGTTACTTCACCTGCCGGCTTCTCACGCCAACTTTTCGAGAGTTACTTCACGCGCCATCTTCTCGTGCCAACTTTTCGAGACTTACTTCACCTGCCAGCTTCTCACGCCAACTTTTCGAGAGTTACTTCACCTGCCAACTTCTCATGCCAACTCTTTGAGAGTTATTTCACCTGCCAACTTCTCATGCCAACTTTTCTCTTGAGTTACTTCACCTGCCAGCTTCTCACGCCAACTTTTCGAGAGTTACTTCACCTGCCAACTTCTCATGCCAACTCTTTGAGAGTTATTTCACCTGCCAACTTCTCATGCCAACTTTTCTCTTGAGTTACTTAACCTTCCAGCTTCTCATGCCAACTTTTTGAGAATTGCTTCGCCTGCCAACTCCTCATGCTAACTTGGCGAGAGTTACCTCGCCTGCATCAACTTGCCTCTATGCTTCCGGGCCACTCGTCGTCTAGTTTAAACATATAATATTGACTCTGGTAACCCTTCATTGTCCGTGTTGGTTTCTTGTTGACCCCAAATGGTTAGCCTATGTTTTGGGGGTCCGTTGGGCAAGTGAAAAGGCTCCATCGTGGCTCGTTTTTTGAGGCTATGGCTCGTCAAAGTAGGGACTTGGCCGTCTGACATCGTGGTGTTTCTCGGGTTTTCCGTTGAGACCAACCTGAATATCATGGGGGCTGGGAAGGGAGGGAGCCAAGTACGCCCTCATTAAGTTTTTATTAAGCCCTTACCTTAGGGCTTATTTGGGCTCCCTCCCCCATCACCCCCCCCTCCTCTTCCCCCAGCCCCCATGTGAATAACATGGGCCCAGCTCCCGGAGCTCTCCTGGCTTTCCCTTCTCAAGGCTTGCCCCCTGCGATCGCCGTCCGATCCAAGATCGGCGAAGATCTTACGCGGATGTGGCGGTTGAAGAGTTTGCGTGGGTAAACTGGATCGTGGGAGACTTGGGCACTCAAGCAACGTCCACGAATGTGTTGCCCTCTTCCATTCGTTGAAATGAATAGTTTATATTAGCTCCCTTGTTGGTTTTAAAGGGAATCTATCACTACTGTTTGTTTTTCTCCAGGAGGTTTAAGGCAAATCGAATTACTGAGCATCGTCGGAAGTCAGCTTGGTAGGCTTTCAGACCTGGCGGCTCTGAATTGCCACTTAGTTGGCTGGTGGCTATGTGGTTGTTGAGACAAAGTTTGGGAAGTGACCACTTTTTGGCGTGTCTTTGCTTGTCGTTGGAATCCAAAAGGAATCCAGGCATTGGGGAGGGGATCCATTGCCTCAGGAAACCAAGAACTGCATCTGAATATATCGCAAGGCTCTACATGAGTTTGCCAAGTCGAAACCTGACATCAAACCACTGGAGCAGAGCCTTTGGAATGCCCAAGGAATTTCACGGAACTGAGGAAATGCACAAAGATCCAAATCCCTTGCGACCCAAGAGCATGTACTTCTCTCACCGGCGATGCCTTGACAACTTCGGGGAGTGTCCAAGAGGAAATGCCTGGCGCGTGGCAGCATGTTAACCCCCCCTCTCAAAAACAACAACAACAACATGTGCACCTCACCTCCAACAGTTCTCAGACACCTGGAAGATCAGTTTCCGGGATGACCTTTCATAGGCAAAACCGGGGCACAAGAGTCATAAGCGCGATAAGGGTCATGAGGGCCATAAGGGCCATATGGGTGTGGGTCAAATTAAACCACCAGAAGACCACCGCATGTTGCCACTTACCAGGGTTCCATGTTGGGTACCTCTTTTTGACCCACAGCCACATAGTCCTTTTTTGCTGAGAAACCCCCGAGACTGGTGTGGGGCGAAGCCATCGAAGCAAACAGTCGGTATATCCTGCTCAGGTGCCGGCGCCCGCGTGGTCGCGGAAGTAGGCGAAGAAATTGGTCTCAAGACTGCCAAGCAGTCCAGAGCGAGCGGGGCGGGAGGAATTGAATCCGAAATGACGCCCCGGGTTCGTGGAAGCCGGTGACCATTGTTCCACATTCTTCAGGGCTCCTTAAAAGATACATTTGGCCCATTTGAAACATGTTGTTTTTTCAACACCAGAATAAAGGCAAACCACCTGCTACGAGGCAATGATCAGGTGTATAATGTAAGGATCCCTGTTCTTCCGATGCACAAATGAGGCGTTCTAATCTCACTCCCCGAGTTCCTGGACTTGATACTTGTTTGGGAAGACCACGGAAGACCATTCTAGTGGCAAAGAAAGAGTTCGGACTTTCTTTGGCCAATCCACTCAGGAAGTGAGTAACGTGTAGATTGGTAACTACGCACCAGCCTCAACATGAATCAAGTCTGTCTCCTGACCGAAATCTCTTGATTCAGATTCTCAGAATAGTCCCAAAATGTTGGGGTTACTTTTGAAGACAACTTCCTTCCATTTGCTTAAGGATATGTTTTATTTTCCCCTGTTGGTTTTAAAAGGAATTTATCAGTACTGGACATATGTTTACTTTTCCCAGCAGGCTTAAGCAAATGGAAGCTTCAGGTCGTAAAAAAAGAAGAAGCATTCGGACATCCCCTTGGCCAATCTGCACATACGTATCTGTGGTTTCCGAGCCGAAGGGGGGGGGGGTTCAGTTTGGCTAAGTGGTTAATTGCCCTAGCTGTGAGGGCTTCATGGGAAGCACAGAAGGAACCAATCAATGGTGGGACAACATGGGCACCCAGTTTTGGAAGACAGGTTCGTTTCTGGCGAAGCCCTGGTGTAGCAATCCAGCCGTCAACATCTACCCAGGCTTCATAGGCGGCAATTCCTCCTGGCCCATCATGGAATCGGAGTGACCTGCTTTCATTGCCAGTGGAGCAGTGAATGAGGTACTTCCAACTTTCGCTTTAAGGATCTTTATCGGCATTGCAGTACCTCTTACTCCCAATACCCAATTTTGCGAAGGGTATGCAGAGAGAAAACTCGTTTTCCATGGCAATTTCCTCAGGGATTGATATGGCTGTGGATCAAACATAGGCACCCAAACTGGAACCCTGGCAAGTGGAAATGTAGACTAACATCTGCGGTCCCGTGGTGGTTTAATTTTTGACCCAGACTCATATGACCCTAGAAAAGGTGGGTATTTGGAGTAGGTTTAAAAAGGCGCTGCATGCCTGGAACAAAGATGGATCTCGAAAATTGAATAGCGACCTCGCAAAGGGGTAAAAAAACAAACGAACTTGCATGAAGGCTCTGTTGGGTCCATATGTGTGCTATATGTCTAACGTTGGTCGAGCGTTCATTGGAAACGCACTGTATACCTCACTTCCTGAGCTCCGTTTCGGACTTGATCCTCACTTTTTGGGCGACCAATTTGTTTGGCCAATCCACTTGCGGGGAGGTGAGGAGAAATGCGTGTCTCGGGAACCTCAAAATCTCGGCGGTTGATCTCTTGGGTCCCGGAGGGCTTTGTGTCTAGGCTTGCTCTCATTCAGTCCCCAATCGAAGAAAGTTTCACCCCTCGAGAAGTTCTCGTTCTGGTTCCTGTTAAAACCAACAAAGAACCGTTTTCGAGAAAGGACAGCCCCTGTGTCTGTGTCTCTCTGCTTTGAGCCTCGAGCTCTGGGGCCCCTCCGGAAAATATCCCAACCCTCGAAAAACAATAGCTAGATGAAGGCGTCAGGAAGCGCCGTCACGCATTCAGGTTGCTTCCCATGTGCCCCGCTCAGAAGATGAAACTATTCCATTGGGCGTGTCTTTCTTCGGGGAACGCCAAAAAATTAGCCGCTGACGGGATCTTCGCTGAAACCCTGGTTTTTGGCTGTATCCCTTCGAGACATTTCTTTTTGGGCGTGTCTTGTTTTCAGGAGACCAAGCGTTTCGGTGGTACCTGAACCCTCCAAATTCCCTTAAAAATGGGTTTGACCCCCAAAATTATGGGGTGATATCCCTTTTTTGTGGGTAGTTTGAGGGTCCAGGTACATCTAACTTGCCGCGTTCAGCTCCTTTTGTGACCGGAGGAAATCCGTCAGACGCCGAGTGGATCCGTCAGACCCGATGGATCGAAAGTTCGCCACGGTGGCGTGGCAAGTCGGAAGTTTTATGACGGCCGGCACTTGGCTCCTCCGGGTTGGCATGCCAAGTTAGCATGTTTCGTGCAAAATCTCGATGCAGCAAAATCAATCCCAACGGCATCTTGACATGATCTGAAAGCTGAAAGCAAAAAGGGCGATCTTTGAGGGACCCTGTTTACAGAGGGAACTAGGCACACCCATGGATGAGCCAGATCCATACTTTTACACCAAAAATGGAAGGGAGAGAAGGCCTAGCAGGCGTCCAGATTGCTATGTTCCCACCGGAATGCCGCCAAAAAATCTGCATTGCCCTGCCTGCGACCCGTATTTTCGGCACAACACCCAAGCTGCCCTCAAATCCAGACCCAAATGAAGAAGCGTCCTGCACTAGCTTCACTGTTGTTGGATCATGGGTTTAGGTTCTTACTTGTTTTTGGTCCTCGTCATATGTTTAGTAGGGGGATGCTTAAACAGCAGTCAGCTTTCTTGCAGCCCCATGCCGCTTTAATAAGATTGACTATCCTCTCATGTTCAGCAGGCGGAATGCAAACAACGTGTGTTGCTAGCATACCGAGGCTGGAGACACGCCTTGTTCGCGCCAATTTTCTGAGCCACTGCCGGTTCCCCGCACCGTTGATGAGGTGAGTTAGGACCTTCTCGGCGGGTCGTGTCGCGACATCCGCCGAACCAAGCCTTTAGGCCGTTGAGACGTCGCCCAGAAAAGGCGCGCGCGAACCCCAGCACCCGGGTTGATATTCGTTTGCCCCATGTCCCCAAAACTCCCAAGTAATGTTCCCGAAAGAATAAACCCCTGGTTGATTAATAGGGGGGGTGTCCCCTTTTAGCGGGAATTCATCACTTTTGGAGGGAGCACCCCCCTAATAATGGGACGGGTTTAGTAATCCTGGGTCTTCTTTTCGGAGACCAAAAAGAAAAGACTCAGCTTACCTTTTGGGCCGTGGTTGTCCATGTTCCCTTTCAACAATGAGTTTGTTGTCTTTTTGCAGGGGGTTTTTCCAAGGCAGTTGTAATGGTCAAGAACCAGTTCCTGACGTGGTTTGCATCCACTCGGGAACTGAGTGTTCCTTACATTGATGCAAGTGGATGGCAAGTGAAAATGAGCCCTGCCGATTCTCCAAGAATCAACTAGGTCCCCAGTAGCGCCCTTTTACCTTTTTTTTTGGGTTTCTTTGGGTTCCCCTACTAAAATAGACAAAATTTGAAAAAAAAGTTGGTACCACCTTATTCTAACCTCTCTACTGGAGGACCTAGTGAATAGACCTCTGTTCAAACATAGGGTTTTTGGGTTCCTCTACTAAAATAGACGGCAGAAAAAGCTGGTACCCTTATTCTAACCTCTCTACTGGAGGACCTAGTAGTCTAGGGGTACCTCCCCCATTCTTTCCGGGGATCCTTCTAGAAAACCTCCAGAAACCTGGGGTGTCTAAAAGAACCTGGGGTTCCTAAATCGGGTGCCAGCTTATTCTAAGCTCTCAAATTTGGAGGACCAAGAATCAAAAGCCTCACGGACTGAAGCTCGCGCAATCTCGACCAACGTGCTGCGATGGTTTTGGGTGTCCTGCCTATTTGGCTGTACTGCTATTGGGTTGGATCTTTAGACTTTAACTTTTTGGATTCTCCTCACATGTCCTTTTAATTAGTAAAAAGTTAAACTTGTTGCCGGGGGATCTACAGCACCCAAGTTGCTGAAATGAATATTTGACCTTGGCTTGAACCCTCTTGTCATGATTGCATTTGTTCAACCAGGTTTTCCATACCTCAGTGAACTACTTCCATTTGCTGAAATGAATAGTTGTTTTTCCCGTTTTTCCGCTTGTTGGTGTTTTTAGGGTACTGCACATATTTTCTCATTTTGTCCAGGCCTTGAGGCAAATGGAAGTTTCCAGTGCCTTCAAATCCAAGGGAGAAACAATTTTCCCCAAAAGGAACACACACATTTATCCCCTCCTTTGCTCAGCCTGGAGACCCTAATTTCTGCCTTTGCAGTTCAAGATCGATGTTTTTTTACTGCCCCATGGTGGTTTTAAAGGGAATCCATCACTGTGTTTGTTTTTTCCCGCACTGAACATGGTTGAGGTCCCAAGTTCCTAACCCAAAGGTCTCAGCTTTGAGCCAACCCTGCGGAGGGTCCGGTCCAATGATGCGGTTGTGGGAAGTGTCACCTTCCATTTGAAAGTTTCAGAATGTGTGCGCCCACTTTAGTCCGAGGTACCAAGGGACTCCCCCACCACTGAAAAAGGAGCCTGGTTTTCTTTGTGGCATTTTGCCCAGGGATGTGAGGACTTTAGCTGTTTGCCAACTAATGGGTTGTCCATCAAAACACTAACACATAAACTTTTAGCAGGGGAGCAGAAAGCAACGGAGTTCCATTTGCATGTCAGAATATGTTCTTTTTTTAAGGGAAAGGATGGATAGGATCCCAAACCTTCCAATGGTTCCTAAAACCCCTCCGCATGAGTTGCTTCTGGAAACTTTAGAGCCTCCGGCTCAGTCCGCCGACATTGTCCTCTCCCTTTTCTCCTTCTTCCTCTCTTCCTTGTCTCCCTTGTGTGTTCTGTCGTCCTCTCTCCCTCCCTCTGCTCCCATCCTCCCCATCCCCCCAAGCCTCTCTCTCCCCAATCTCCCTCTCTCGTATGTATGCATGCATGTACATAAGTATGTATGTATGCATGTATGTATGTATGTATGTATGTATGTATGTATGTATGTATGTATGTATGTATGTATGTATGTAGTAAGTAATGTATAAGTAAGTAAGTACGTAAGTAAGTATGTATGTATGTATGTATGTAATGTAATGTAATGTAATGTAATGTAATGTAATGTATGTATGTAATGTAATGTAATGTAATGTAATGTAATGTAATGTAATGTAATGTAATGTAATGTAATGTAATGTAATGTATGTATGTATGTATGTAATGTATGTATGTATGT